CTCTGTAGCTCATAAGCGGTTCAACAATATTTCAGCATTAAAATGATGTATCTCTCTGCATTAAAGATTCTAATGACAAAGTAGAAAATAAATGACTGGACAGTCCCCAGAACACAAATGCATTTTCTCCCAATGAAAATATCTATTACGCCTTGTTTAAAGTCTCTGTATGCTGCACCTGTGTTCATAATTCTCTTATTTTCTGCAGAAGGCAGAGTTACCGGAACAGAGTGCTCCAAGACATTGCTGTGTGGCCATAGACCAAGTTTTTTTGTTCAATTTATGAGATCCAACTCCTTCAGATCAACAATACTTAATGTACATCTGGCGTTTATAACTATTAGCCGACAATCCAAACTTGTTCACTCCGACCAACAAGCCAGAAAAGTGGACCTATTTAAAAAAGAGGGTGCAGTCATGGTGAACAGAAAACAGACTTCCCCAAACTGTTACCAAAACGTTAGACGAGCACAGTGATCTAAAGCAGTGGTTCTCAACCTGTGTAGCCTCAGGTCCTTAGTCATTAAGTTGTGACCCAAGTCGCACTTCAATGGAACGCACAGCATTGCGGTACCAAACGGCCTGGTGCAGGCGATTGTTCGGTTAATGCACTGTACTAGTGTAAACAGGCCCTCAAAAACCCTGACAGACGCAACCAACCACAGAAACACTCACATACACACTACATAAAAAAACATTTTTTTTTCTTTTTTTAAGGTCAACCCTACTTTACAAGAACTGGAGTGGATCCTCAGCCTGGGGTCCAGTGTGGGCTGCTGTGCTGTGACGGAGCTCCTTCCATATGTGCATTGCTTGTACAGCTCCCTTGTGTGCCCTGTAGAGGTGTTGGGAGCCAGAATGACGGCACTCCAGTCCAGGCACCTCCACAGGACATACTCCAGCCCACGCCACCTCAAGCTGACACTTGGCGCCGGGCAGCAAATGAATGGCTGCTTGGCGTGAGAACTGACAATGCTGCGCAAGGGGGGGAGGGCTGAGGAGCCTCTCACCTTGAAAAACGGAAGCCACGCAGTGACGACCCACAAGTTGAGAACCAAGGATCTAAATTGTTTCCTGTGGCATTAACAGCACCCTTTGGAAATTCCCGAACTCAATAATTTGGTGGAGGGTCCACATACGTTTTATACTGTGCAGCTTTTAAATTGATGAAATGGGTGACATTGCTCCTGTCTTACAATATGTTGCTAACTTTTTTTGACCAATGTGTAGCTAACGTGTCTTAAACTCATGGCAATTAAAGTATCACAATCTTAGCAGCTGACTGCAGTTAAAAAAAGGGTCCTGAAAGGTAAAACCATTTACTGACATCTGTAAGAAATATTATTAATAATATGCAAATTAACAAGGCTGAATCGCAAGTAAGCCAAGTCATGTATATTAAAACTTAATTGTCCAAATGCATTTCAAGGCGGTAATCCATTCTGAAGTTGTTCTTTAAGAAACTGAAACTTATATTGATTCTATGGCAACGCTTTATGCACACTTTAAAAAACAGAATAAACCCATTTGTCCCTTCATATCACAGGCGATGTCATACATTACATAAGGAGTTTAGTTTTGAATGGAGGGTGATCAATGCATTTCCACTGTCGCAGCCAAATTGGGATAACACCGATTTTATATTTGTTACATGTTCCCATATACATAGCATAAAGCTAAACAATTATCTCAAACTTGCTCCTTGCAGTTTAAGTTGTTTTTACTTGGGTTAGAGTTTCTAGGCTTCTTAAAGGTTAACATTTCTACTTGCTTCTCCTGCTTTGTAATGTGAGGGGTTTGTTCATTATAATTTGTAAAGTAGATTTAAAGGAGAGCTATGGGGTGAGTAAAAATCACTCATCCTCAAAGTTCAAGCCGACGTGCGACAATGAAACTGTCACAGGTCGGCTCAATAGATCGGGAAGTGAGCGAACACATACCGTCGCTCGCTCATCTCCCTGCAGAGAGCCGTGCCTGTCAGTCACGGCTTCTTGCAGGGATTCCCCCCTCCCCGCTCCGATCCTCCAGCACTGACTGGAGGAACAGATGGGGGAGCGGGCGAGTACAGCTGGCTCTGCCTCTAGATAAGCAGAGCCCGCTGTCACTCACGCAGCTGGGTGGATCTCAACAGTAATGTTGGGATCCGTCCCGGCTGTGGCGGTCTCCGTAAACCGCGAGCTGTGGTTCGCTATATATTGAGCTTTGGGACACGGGAGGATGCTAGTATATGTCCTCCCGTGACCCTTAAGAGAACTATGGAGAAAAACACTTACCCCATAGTTCTCTTTTAAACACTGCCTGTCCTAACAAAGGGTTAAATGAGTACAAAAAACCTGGCTTGTGCATTGTATTGTAAAGAGGGCCTTTATCCCCTTTGACTAAAAATCACATCAGCATACAGCTCCGCATATGAAATCCTCTTACATTCATTAGCCAAACAAACCTATTTTTATTTTACTTACAATTTATTTTTTCCACTTCCTGGTCCACTTTGGCACAAATGATGTAATCGTACCCAAGCATTGCATACTGGAAAGGTTACATCAGCAGAGCATTGCTAGGAAATCTCATCTGTAATCTCACAAGATCTCAGGGAAAAAAATGTTCCTCCCCTGAGATGATGTGCATGGTAACATGTCCTAGTCACCTGTGCCAGAGTTACTGGAAGTAAAGAGATATATATTAATCTGCCCTTAGTTAAAATGGCCACTGTGAGAAGACTGGGGTAGAAGAGGAAAATAAGGTATGTAAAAAGCCCGAAGTTATCTAGAAGTATGTGTTTGTAGATTGTCATTACTAAACTTTCCTAAAAGTGCCTTTGTTGTTTTTTTGAAGATATGGGTAAAGTTCCTTTTTAATGAAGTTAATGAGAGAACAGAATCCTCAAATTTCAGTGCCAAATCTTTCTATAAGGACAGAACACTGTGAACCTAGAATCAGCCATGTTGCCTGCTGCAACAAAACATCTGAAAGTTAAGAAATAGGTTTAAAAAAATGTTATGCTGTGTGGAAAGGAACATAAACTAGAGGTATAGCACAGTGTTGGGCAAATTCACAGTAGAAAAAAGGAGGAAATTATCAATGAACCTTTGAAGGTAATTATACATTTACAAATATTATTTTTTTGAATCACCCTTCATCCAAAACTAGTTAAGTGCAGAGCTCATTTAAAGTGAAGCACCAGCCAAAACACTTTTCGGCTCTTTGGATAGAGCAAAGAAGCATCAGACCCTCCCGTTAAGCTTACATTTCTGTCTCCACTGTGGAGATTTTCCGTGATTTTGTGTCCTTTCACCATAGCTGAAGTGGGGGAAATCTCCCCAGCGGAGCAAAGACAGCATTAAAACCTGGCAAAATATCTAACCCAAAATATCTTCCCAACTGGGAGAAAAAAAGTGTTTTATGGCTGTCTCCATTGGAGAGATTTCCCCTAACTTCCCATCTTGGTGAGACAAAAATGAGAGTAAGGCTCCATAGTAATAAAAGCCTGGCAGAGTCTAGCTCTTTTCAAAGTCATTACACAACAAAATAAAAGGTTTTGGCTGGAATTCCATTATAAGACAATCAAAACGGGATCATCTTCATTGCTGTATCGCTTTTCAAACCTCTTCAAGAACCAGTACAATTTATGTTATACAGCAAAGGTGAAAGTTTATTAACACTTGCGTTGTTTGGTATGTAAAAGTTTATACAAGTTATAAATTAAATGGTTTCCGATTTATCCACAAGTCTCAGAAATCTGTGACAATCATTTTAAAAAACGGAGTAAAAAGACCAAAAATACAAACTTTGGCCACATGTCTACCTTTTGCTTGTGATATCATTCTTCTATGGCTTTCGTTAATAAAACAAATGATTTCTGATAGGTTGATGTGGGTTACTGCATTATGGGCGCTGGTTCATGCCTTAAAAAAGGGTCAGTCCACCCAAAACTGATATTGCCGGATGCTGGGGAATTGAACCACCTGACAAATTTTTGTATATCTCAATAGTGATATCTCTGTGCTTGAGATCATGGGTCCACACACCTGCTGTGGCTCTTAGAAGAGGTCCTGCTTAGTTTATAACAAAGGTGGGCGAGGATAGTCAAAACTCTGAGATGAAAAGGAACAGAGTTGTGAGATCCCATTCTTGAAGTATCCAAGACACATATGAAGCCAGGAGTTAACCAGACTCAATTTCGAGTGGACATATCCTTTAAGTAAAGACATATTTATGTGTGAACAGTGAGGCACTTCTCAAGAAATGAAAACTTTCAACTTCTATTGCCAAAATGTTTTTAGTAGGTTAACTAAGCAATTGGCATTTATTTTTGCAAGTCTAGGGTCCTGCATCAATTCTTGTGGAGTTTACTTGCTGCCCATGTTCAAATGGGTTTCTTCCACAACACAAAAACATACTAGTAGCTGCATTGGCATTTAACGAAATTACCCCCAAAAATTGGGTTATGTACTGTACGTCCATGTATCATATTAGATTGTTATCGCCTCTAGGTAAAAGATTGATGTGCTGCATAAAATGTTGGTACTATGTAAATATAGGCAACAACTACAGGTACAGGCTTAAAACGGACCACCATAATTGTGTGCACAAAGCTGAAAATCATCAAGATCTGAGGGATCATTAACATAAATCATTTAAAAGGTCACATATTTACAGAACCTTTGTTTAACCTACTCTGTTCCAAGCCAAAAACAAAAATAGTCTTGAGGCAATAAATAAAAATGTAATGTACCCATCGCATAGAAGTAAAAGGAAAAAAAAAAACACATCAGGAGATTCATAAAACTTAAGACACAAAGAGGGCAAACAAAAGGTGTGAGCAATGTTAAGAGACAGAAGGGTGAGGTTAGTTCTATGTACAGGAATTCTGATCAAAGGTTAGTTCTATGTACAGGAATTCTGACCAAAGGAAACATTCTTTCAGTAAGAAAAGTCAATAGATTAAGGACACAGGAGATACTGGATAAGCCCCGTAGACCATAGAGCTAGTCACCAACCTGGGTAAACAGTGATGAGTCTGTTGTCCGAGTCTTTGTCATCTTTCGCAGAAACATTTGAAGTTTGATCCAGATTGTAACCTTTTGTGGACGGCACTGTGGTTTGTAAAGGGACCTCCTGAGTCCCGGCAGGTATGTCTGAGTCCCTGCCATCTATTAAAGAAGTATTTTGTTTATTCTCTGGGTCAGTCAAAGTTTCATTTGGGCCAGCACCCTGCAAATCATCAGCACTGGCGGTAGATGGGGTGGACTCAGTTTGGTTTTGTGCCTCCGAAGAGTGTGTGGCTATACTTTTCTCCTTTTTTTCACTGTCCTTTTCACCCTCTTCCTCCTGCTCACGCTCGCCCTCCTCCCCCTCTCCTTTCTCGTCTTTCTCCCCTTCCTCCGTCCCCTCGCTGGTTTTCGTGGGAGAGGCGTCACTATCGGGTCCTGTAGACGGCAAAGGTTCAGTGGTAGAGACAACAGGCTTGGCAGCTTGTTTGCTGGCAGAGGAGGAAGTAGGGAGGCGAGTGGGCCACACAGTGCTAGGAAAAGAAGGCAAACCACCACCACTAAACCCAAGGCCCGCAAGCAAAGTACTTGTCACCACAGAGGCCACCGTAGCTTGGCTCCCACTTGAAGAGGGACCCATCCCGGTAGCCATAGAAACAAAGGAAAAGGGGATGCCTGAGGAAGTCCAGGTAGATGATCCCGAACTGATTGGAGCCATGTCAGCAGAAGAAGCAGGAGAAGCAGTAGGCTTTTAGAGAAAAGATCAAAGACAAGAGTCAGTACAGTACCTGAAATCATACTTCTATATAGTTTCCAGAATAATGGCTCTTTCCAAACACTCTCATTCTGTGTTGAAAACAAAACAAGTCACCATAGCAACTGCTAACATTTCATGATATAATATAGACACTTCTTATCAAACTTCCTTCCCAAGAGCCTCATTACCAAACTAAAGTTATTTCAGCCAAAGTGGGCTATTACCACGCTGGCTGCCATGACACAAATGAACAGATGCACTGGAAATCACTATATGTTTCCAGGCATGAGGAAACTTTCAATGACCCTGAAAATACAATGACACAGTGAGGTAGCAATAATGCATAGATGTGCCCAGGAGACCTTAGTCAATGTAAACACTTTTGGCACCTCTGACCAAATTAGACCTTTTGTTGGCTTTGTAAGAGAAATGCTAACAATGCCTCTGCAGGGAACATACAAAAAAAAAGACAATTTTAGGTAAAAAAGGAAATAATTCATTAAGCTATTAAAATGCATCTAAATCCAAGAACAAAGACAATGTATTGCAGTTCTAAGATGTGAACGCTGCGTTAGTTGTCTTTTCACCTGGTGATCCTGCCTTTCCCGTTGGTTTCACCTGGTGATCCTGCCTTTCCCTTTGTTTTCACCTGGTGACCCTGCCTTTCCCTTTGTTTTCACCTGGTGACCCTGCCTTTCCCTTTGTTTTCACCTGGTGACCCTGCCTTTCCCTTTGTTTTCACCTGGTGACCCTGCCTTTCCCTTTGTTTTCACCTGGTGACCCTGCCTTTCCCTTTGTTTTCACCTGGTGACCCTGCCTTTCCCTTTGTTTTCACCTGGTGACCCTGCCTTTCCCTTTGTTTTCACCTGGTGACCCTGCCTTTCCCGTGGTTTTCACCTGGTGACCCTGCCTTTCCCTTTGTTTTCACCTGGTGATCCTGCCTTCCCCTTTGTTTTCACCTGGTGACCCTGCCTTTCCCGTGGTTTTCACCTGGTGACCCTGCCTTTCCCTTTGTTTTCACCTGGTGATCCTGCCTTCCCCTTTGTTTTCACCTGGTGACCCTGCCTTTCCCGTGGTTTTCACCTGGTGACCCTGCCTTTCCCTTTGTTTTCACCTGGTGATCCTGCCTTCCCCTTTGTTTTCACCTGGTGACCCTGCCTTTCCCGTGGTTTTCACCTGGTGACCCTGCCTTTCCCTTTGTTTTCACCTGGTGATCCTGCCTTCCCCTTTGTTTTCACCTGGTGACCCTGCCTTTCCCGTGGTTTTCACCTGGTGACCCTGCCTTTCCCTTTGTTTTCACCTGGTGATCCTGCCTTCCCCTTTGTTTTCACCTGGTGACCCTGCCTTTCCCGTGGTTTTCACCTGGTGACCCTGCCTTTCCCTTTGTTTTCACCTGGTGATCCTGCCTTCCCCTTTGTTTTCACCTGGTGACCCTGCCTTTCCCGTGGTTTTCACCTGGTGACCCTGCCTTTCCCTTTGTTTTCACCTGGTGATCCTGCCTTCCCCTTTGTTTTCACCTGGTGACCCTGCCTTTCCCGTGGTTTTCACCTGGTGACCCTGCCTTTCCCTTTGTTTTCACCTGGTGATCCTGCCTTCCCCTTTGTTTTCACCTGGTGACCCTGCCTTTCCCGTGGTTTTCACCTGGTGACCCTGCCTTTCCCTTTGTTTTCACCTGGTGATCCTGCCTTCCCCTTTGTTTTCACCTGGTGACCCTGCCTTTCCCGTGGTTTTCACCTGGTGACCCTGCCTTTCCCTTTGTTTTCACCTGGTGATCCTGCCTTCCCCTTTGTTTTCACCTGGTGACCCTGCCTTTCCCGTGGTTTTCACCTGGTGACCCTGCCTTTCCCTTTGTTTTCACCTGGTGATCCTGCCTTCCCCTTTGTTTTCACCTGGTGACCCTGCCTTTCCCGTGGTTTTCACCTGGTGACCCTGCCTTTCCCTTTGTTTTCACCTGGTGATCCTGCCTTCCCCTTTGTTTTCACCTGGTGACCCTGCCTTTCCCGTGGTTTTCACCTGGTGACCCTGCCTTTCCCTTTGTTTTCACCTGGTGATCCTGCCTTCCCCTTTGTTTTCACCTGGTGACCCTGCCTTTCCCTTTGTTTTCACCTGGTGATCCTGCCTTTCCCTTTGTTTTCACCTGGTGATCCTGCCTTCCCCTTTGTTTTCACCTAGTGATCCTGCCACTAACACACTCCCTTGTACTGCATCCATGGGGAAGGAGCGTTATAACCCAAGGCTGCTCAATCTATAGGAATACAGGACATCCCACTTCTCACTTATACCATAAGGGGGAAATACTCTGCACTCCACAGACATGAACTGAGCAGGGAACTGAGAATTTAGAACTGGATTTCTAGCAGGATCAACACTTTTTTGTGCAGTTATCGAACAGACATAACAATATTCTTCAAATTTTATATTTTGAAGGCCAAAGGGGATAAAAAAAAGTTATGTTTATTGTTAGGGTTTACATAGACTTTAATACTATCAAGCAAACAGTATATATACACACAGCTCTATAGAAGGTCAGTATGAGTGTACATTTCCGACACCTATGCTGTATAGCAGGGGTAGGTAAACTTTGGCCCTCCAGCTGTGATGCAACTACAAATCCCCTTAAAGTATTGCAAGACTGACTGTCACAGATATGACTCCTACCGGCAGATGCATGATAGGATTTGTACTTTCACCACAGCTGGAGGGACGAAATTTGCCTACCTCTGCTGTTTACCTTCCGCTATAACCAATCACATTCATATATCCAAGGCAGGACTGAATCTGATTGATAGCTGTGAGAAACGTCTTAGTACTAGCATATTTATGACAGCAAGGACCCTTTAGTGGGTGCTCCAGCATCAGCAGAGGGTGTGTTCCAGCATCACCAAATTTTTTTTTGACTTCAGCTTATAAAAGAAAATAGTTATCAAACGTGTGGTGTGGTGAGTAAAGGCAACAGAAGGTGCTTACTTAAGGGGCAAGGGGTCATTTAACAACAGGTGGATGTGCTTTACAAGGGCTCTGACAAATATGTCACTTTGTGGAGCTGTCCAGGTGTTTTATTGTGCTGAAATCAGTTATATGAAAAGTTATGAGACCTATATATCAAATTAGTCTAACTTCTAGTGAAAGATATTAGCTTATCTCAACAATGTAGAATCCTGACAAAGTCTCTTCTAACCCTTTAGTATTAATTTAGGACATTCCCTGAACAATATAGAACATGATCAAGTAAGTAGAATCTAAATGAAGAATTTTATGAAAAATTTGGTCAGCAGCGCTTTATTCTTTAAGGCATTACAATGTCCCTTAAAGTGACATTAAACCCTCAGATTTTTTAACATAAAACAATACTGTAATGTGTGCCTTAGTGTAATCCATGGTTGTTTCCCATCTCTTTGCTGCTCTTAGTTTTAAATCCTCATGTCTTCTCATGCTTGGGGAGAACTTCCCTTTGCAGCTGACTGCCTCTTCCTGTAGTGCTGGCTTAGGTTGCAAACCTACATACAGACACCATGTATCCATTCCAGAGACAAGGCAGTCTGCTGCAAAACAGAAGTTCTTCCCAGCATGAGAACAGATACAGATTTAAAAGGAAGAGCAGCAAAGAGAAGGGAAACGACCATGGATTACAGTAAGGCACACATTACAGTATTGTTTTATGTTAAAAAATCTGAGGGTTTAATGTCACTTTAAGTTAGAGAGGGTTATAAACTATGGGTATGTTGCCCTTTGTTCAGTCTCATAAAAAAAGAAGACTGCAGATAATAAAATGGCTGCCTGTGTTTATGGTTGAACAAAAACAAACCTGGCTTTTACAGACCAAAATTTAAATTACATTTGCGACCACCGGATGTCACTATTGTGTCATCTACAGCTCAGAACACTTCGGTCGCTGAAGCGCTTCCTGGCGATAGAAGAAAAAAAATTGGCACGGGCTGGGAAATACGGATTTCCTAACAACATTCAATTCATTTCCTCCGGACACAGAGTTTAAGGTCCAAACCAAAACTTGGACACAAAGTGCTGCCTGTTATTATGGCTGCTCTGAACTGCATTAAGCACGATGGACTAAACAGACTACTAGCTAGTAAATCTGTTTACTTTTCTGGTGTACAAGATAGATCAAGGATGTTATCTTAGTAATAGTAGTTATTCAGTAGTGTAAATGACTGCATGCACAGAGCTTGCCACCAGATGGGTTCACCAGCAAGAACAGGGGCTGAGCTGCCACCACAACCGTGCCAGTTGGAGGGTCTCACACATGAATTCCAATCTTGGGGAGACGGGGAATTATATGGAAGCTTAGTAATAGTATTTATTTAGTGGTGTAAACTACTGCAAGAGCAGAACCTGCCACCAGACAAGACCACTAACAAGAACAGGGCCTGAGCTACCTCCATTATAACGACGGTCTTGCACATTAACTTCACACCTGGGGAGGAGGGGTTGTTGTGGAATCATATGAAGGCTTAATAAGAATATTTGTGTCCGGGGGAAATGAACTGAATGTTGTTACAGTGATGTAAACTAATGTCAGGGTAAAGCTTGCCTTTAGACAGCGCCACAAGCAAGAATGGGGCCTAGGTTGCCACCAAACCTGTGCCAGTAGAGGAAAGGTCCCACAAATCCATTCCATTCTTGGAGACACTGAGGGATCATATGACTGGTCTACATGCCCAGTAATGTGTATCAGATCCCGTAACACTATGCTCTGTGCTCATCAGTAACCAGATGTCACCTTTTATAATTTTAGAGCTGTCTGAACCCTACATGATATTTGGTTATAGGCAGTCAATAGCAGCATAGGTCAACAGTAGTTGACTTCAAAAGGAGCTCTTAATCCCTCCATGACCAGTGAAGGTTTACCTTCTTTGCTTATTTTCAGAGCTCATAGTCACTAGTATATGCATAACATGTGCATTGTACACTGAGGGTCTGGTCCATCATCCCCTAGAAACCCAAGTATAACCATGGCTGGTAAAAGTAAAAAAAATACTAGCGAATAAATGATTTCTCAGTGGGGCAAGGTTTGAGACCCAATTGAGTATCTTCTACTGACCATATCTGTAAAAAAATAAGTCAAGGCAACTAGACTTGCTGTATTTTTCTTGAAAACGTTTCACTGGACATCAGACTTGCTTTCTTAATTCAAAAATTTTATTTTTTGAATTGAGAAAGCTGGTTGAATGTCCAGTGAAACGTCTTCAAGAAAAATACAGCAAGCCCTGTTGCCTTGACAGATATATCATGACCTGGATGAATGAGAACCTTCACAGACATTCTATTGACCAGCCCTGTAGGAATACCCCCACTCTCCCACTATGGTACTAAGCCAGTCCAAACAGCCAAGCTACTTTTTGTCACAGCAAAATAAAGCTGGCCATGTCCTTCAAGGGGCTCATTGAGTGACATAGAAGCACATAGGTGGGGCAGACTGAAACCTACCCAACTTCAACCAAAACTTAGAAGACCATTTCAGGTACAGTCACTCAATTGGGAGGCTATTTACAGAAAGTTACTGTTGTAGAATATTACTGATCACATGACATTCTGCATGATGAGTGAGGGGGCATGATCGGGTGACATCCATGAAACATAAGCATGCTTGAACTGCATAGAACAGAGGGGAACATATATTGCTCAGTGCTGTGAGCCACTGAGCACTAGGCAGTAATGGCCAGGCATCTAGAACACTGAGTGCTGGGAGTTAGCTGAACAAAAGATCATTCTAAAAGTCTTGCTGGCTCTTGAATTGCATATAAACTCCCAACAATAAACATCTCCTGCTTCCTTTTAGTCTGTTAAAGATGCCATTAAAACCTGTTGATCTTGTCAGAAAATTAGAGCTGTCCTGTGTCCACTTTCCATGTAGGCAGACTGTACCCATCGTATCTTAGACTACTGAACAACCAGTCCGGAAATTGTACAGATGAGGACAGTGGGAGAGATTGAGTAATTTAGCAAAAGAAAACTGGGCAGAGCGGACACCATTCAATCCCACAACAAGAAATTAGGAGCTATGTGCATTTCTGCCAGATTTACATATAGTTTCCTGTACCTGCAGGGTCTTTAAATGGATACAGCACGAGGACATGTGCATGTATTGCACATTATTTTATTTTGTCCTGAGATATACTTTAATGATAAAATGTCCTAGTTAGTGGGCTGGCTCTAGGCAAAAACCATTTAAAGAGCATAAAAACGCAGTGAAGACATGCAAATTCTTAAACAGCCATTCAGGTTTTGGTTTAGTGCAGTCCAAAAAATGTCAAATTGGCCATTACGAGACTGCGCTTTGTCTTTATTACAGAAGCCTGGAACTGACTGGAGATAACCACACAAGAGTATGGTTGATGTAAGCTCCATTGACTGGAGCAAGGGAGATTTACATTCTATGGGGGTTTACAATCACAGGCCAGAGAGTGACATTAATACAGCAGCAGCTGTAGCAGTTCACTATTAATATGCAGCCATACACTAGGTAGGAGACGACCCCTCTCCTTTTCACCTCTTGCAAGCCTCTTTTGGCGTTTTAAATGTCACCTGCCATTCAAGAAAAGCAGATTTAAAAATAACGATGTCTTCTGGCAATACAGATGTTTGAAACACATACAGTTCCTTGTGTAGGTCTGGTTAATATGAGCTCATTGACGATTCAGGCTGAATCAAGGAAAAAATCCAGTGAGCTTCATTTACATTTAAAATAACCTCAAAATATAACCCCATTATAATTGTATATGCGTTACAACCCTTAGAGTTCTATACAAGGAATTGGTATTGCTACTATAGCTGGGTATACACGGTTAGAATGTCATTAGAAAATGGGCATTTTATGTTTGTTCGAATATTCTAATAGTTTATGAGGTCAACTCAACAGTCATTTTTGACCGTAGTGATGAAAAAAATTGATAAAATGTAACTAAAAAAAAAAAACTTACCTAAGAATGCACAATAATCACTTCATTAAAAGAACTGGCAGTCCTATTTTTTTAAGCCAAGTTGTGCAGCGCCTTCTGGCTCTGTTGCACCTTCCACTATGAGCGGGCAGATCACAGCGGAGGGCAGTACAGAAGCTGAGGGCATTTGATAGATTGTTTCCATTCACGTACCAGGACACATCCTACCAGCAGCCCCATTCACGTACCAGGATACTTCCAACCAGCAGCCCCCATTCACGTACCAGGACACATCCTACCAGCAGCCCCCATTCATGTACCAGGACACATCCAACCAGCAGTCCCCATTCACATACCAGGACACATCCTACCAGCAGTCCCCATTCATGTACCAGGACACATCCTACCAGCAGCCCCCATTCACGTACCAGGACACATCCAACCAGCAGCGCCCATTCACGTACCAGGACACATCCAACCAGCAGCGCCCATTCACGTACCAGGACACATCCTACCAGCAGCCCCCATTCACGTACCAGGACACATCCAACCCGCAGAACCCCTTGACGTCCCAGCACACATCCAATATCCTACCAACAGCCCCCATTCACGTACCAGGACACATCCAACCAGCAGCGCCCATTCACGTACCAGGACACATCCAACCAGCAGCGCCCATTCACGGACCAGGACACATCCTACCAGCAGCCCCCATTCACGTACCAGGACACATCCTACCAGCAGCCCCCATTCACGTACCAGCACACATCCAACCAGCAGCCCCCATTGACGTACCAGGCACATCCTACCAGCAGCCCCCATTCACGTACCATGACACATCCAATCAGCAGCCCCTATTCACGTACCAGGACACATCCAACCAGCAGTCCCCATTCACGTACCAGGATACATCCAACCAGCAGCCCCCATTCACGTACCAGGATACATCCAACCAGCAGCCCCCATTCACGTACCAGGACACATCCAACCAGCAGCCCCCATTCACGTACCAGGACACATCCAACCAGCAGCCCCTATTCACGTACCAGTTCACTTCAAGCCTGATGAAGGGGACCCTGCGCGGCCCTGAAAGCGCTTGTTTCCACTTTAAGTGACTTCAAAAATAAAAATGAAGATTCACTAAAATCTTGACGTATTCTGTCATACTTGGAGTGCTGGTGACATCCATACAATATTCACGTACCAGGATACATCTAACCAACAGCCTCCATTCACGTACCAGGACACATCCAACCAGCAACCCATGTTCTAAGGTCACAACACTGCTCCTGCCCTGCAGAAGCACGGCCTCAGCCGGCATTGTCACAGTATTGGACAGGAAATCCCCTCCTTGCAGGATCAACAGGTCAAAATAAAAAATAAAGCTTACAGAGGGTAAGCCATCAGGATTTTTGTTTATTTTTGGGTTTACATACACTTTCCATTTTAACTGAGCAATGGTAGTTTAAAGTGACTTAACATTGCATAGGCCTTAGCCCCATCTTGTGTACTTACCACTCCTGTTTTCACTATCCTGGTTCCTTCAAATATACGGGTTGTATTTGCTGAAAATGAAAGAAAAACACAATCAGTACATGAAAATATAAACATATGCAATGCTCACATGCTCACCTCTCCAAAGTACCACGACAGAAAGTGCCTACCTAACTTCTTAGAACAATGTCCTCCAAAAGTTAAGCTATATTTTATGTTTAAATTGTTGACACAATAGAAAAATAAAAAAAGTTGCAAACTCCCTCAGGTTATTATTATTAAAGCTGAACTCCGGATTCAAAATAGTCACTTTTCCACAACAGCCACAAATGATATAAATCCAATTTGTGTGCACCAAAAGTCTTTGCAAACTCATTGATTGCCTTGCCAATTGGTTGTGACATCATCACTGTGCTGTACACAACCTGTGCAGAGAGCAGAGCGAGGGACCCAGCAAGGCCACCCACTACAGGAAACTACAGAAGGAGGCGGATAGAAGACCAGTCGAGCTGCACAAGGAGAGGGAGTAGTACTGACTGGTCTGTATTACAGGAAGCAAAGTATCATATGGGCTTACTGCACAGATCTGGAATACATACACAGAGGACACCAAGATTCAAGTACGAGTACACATGACTTTTGTATTTATACAATATCTGCTTATCCCAGAGTTCAACTTTAATTTCCCCTCACTTACTGTCCCAGGGACCTGGGTGCATGCCTATGTCAGCAAAGACCGTCACCTTTATCAATTAGCCTAGAAAATAGGCTGAACAGATATTTGAGATTTATAGCAGCAACTATTGCTCTTCCATATTTGCAAGGCTTTTTCACTCAAAGTCCCATTGAAAGACATCCCAACTACTCAGTTTCCAATTGTCCATCTTTTGGACTCAACCATTGTACCCCTTTTTTCTCCATCATTGAGTGTCTGAGATCTTATGTCTAGCTCTGTATGAATATTTGTTCACACCAATCATGTTTATATTGCTCATTAACTTCATATCTGGTCCCTGCTTGTAAAGAACTGTATTACTTTAATACTTAATTAGTAAAACCTAATGGAAGATTTCCCTTCTGTTCCTGTCCTAGTGACAGCTGAAATTTTTTGACGTCTCAATTCCTTTCAATTCTGGTGTCCGTGGTCACCAGGACATATACAGGAAAAGAATATCCACAACAGGGACACAGGCAGCTATAAAAACCTGACAGGGGTCCTAAATCCATCCCAAAATCTATCCAAAACTTTAAAAAAAAGTTTGGGCTTTAGATATATTTCAACAGCAGTTTCCAGGGTCAAGTATGCAAACAATGGGTTGTGATGATTTAAGGCAAGTAGGTGCAGGGTTAAGGTTGCTTTGAGATTGGTTATTGGTTACTTTGGTTATCCAAAGATGTGCTTTTGCCTAAAACTTTAAGCACTGAAATGCACTACAGAACACTGGGAGGTGTGGATTCATAAGACATCTCTATGAAGGCTTCTTAGATTAATGAAGGCCCTTAGAAGCTTAGCTTCATTGGTGTTCTCTACTGTGGTTGGGTCACCGGTAAAGAATGTTCTAGTGCTTGGGGTAAGTAACGTTCTATAGCTCCGGACCTCTCCAGAGCCAACAACAGATGCACTAATTAAGCTTAACAGATTGATTTAGGATTGTATGTGAAGACTTGCAAGTTCAGCAGCTACCGCTCCATTACTCCTCTGTAGGGGCTGTCAGCAGGCAACGTCTATCCAGATTAATTTTCAGGTTTACCATCCATGAAAACATCAACTTTTTTCCACTCTACAAAGTAGCTAGTAAATATTTGCTTAATTTAGTATTTTTGAGTAACAATGCCAGACCTGTCATTTCTGCTGCAGACGGCTGCCAATCCCATGCTTTGCCACTAACCGTTCTCACGTTGTCAAACACAAAGTTAATTTATTTTTGCATATCTTAATTACAAAATGCAGGGCGCCTATTTGATGCCTGACAGCTTATTTCTTAGATTTCGAAAGTCACTGCCGTTACTGCAAAGGAGAAAATAAATGAAACTGACTTGGAGTTGTTTAGGGCCGTCGATAATAAACATTGGTACTGTATAAGAAGAAGCAAATTCTTTCCATGAGCAGGAATGGAATTACCTGCTTTGCGGAGTTTGTTTTTAAAGGATAACTATACAATAAATGAGCTTTCAGGAGGTTGGGCTACCTCCTGGTGTACCTGCACCCAATTCATCTATTGCTATATATGCTCCAGGATAGAGGCTCTCATAGATTAGAGGTAAGACCACACTACACAAAGGGGCCTTGACGAGTCAGTGTGGCTTCCACGTATTTTGCAAAAGTGGTGCAACTAAAATCCCCGTTTGTAACCCCAGTAGTTAGACAGTGTCATTTGTTTAGTTTTTTTTTTTCAGGCAAGCTGGTAAGCTTGCTGGGTATTTTTTTTGTTTATACTACAAAGTAGGTACACCCCCAATCACTATGCTTTGCTATATTAATGTAATTTCAAAAAGATTTTCAATCTTTTTGAATATGCAGCTTTCAAACCTCCTCTTATAGGTTGAAAGGGGTCTCCCAAATGTGCTCCTGTGTTGTCACCCTGCCACTGATGCAGATTACAAGAAGCCATGCTAACACACATTGTGCAGGCATGAACCACAGTTGCTACCATCAGGAAGCTGGTCCAGAGCGGATGCTGGAGTGCATATAGACAGGAAGAGGCTGAAAGAGGCCTTAGGATATCAGAAGCTCAGAGATGCAAAAAAGTGACTGCAGCATTTTAGAAGAAGAATAAACACAACACAGCAATTGTTTATGATGCACAATGCTTTAGCAAACAATGTTGTGTAGTCAGGGCTTAGGTTGGCTTTAAGTGCAGATCCATTAATTATTGCTGTCGCCTGCAAGATGTACAAAACATAAATAAAAATGGCTTGCAGCCTCTCAACTTCTATTTACATCCTGCTCTGGCTGTGACGTTGACTCCAGCTGTTAGTAAAGGGAGCACTTGGGACATGGGCTCTGCATTCGACTGAATGAGAAGCCTTTTTGCCTGACGAAGGGGTCCTGTGAGGCTCCGGAAAGTTGCATTCACATGTCATGCAAAAGGAATACGAATAAAAAGGACATTCCGAAGCAGAATGGAGTGCGGACAACATATCTTCTTGAATGAGGAGCCTATCTCCCAAGAGCTCCCTCTAGTGGACTGGTGGAGCTTCTACAGCTGCACTGCAGGCTATAAAGTAAAGAGACTGCAGGCCACGGTGGGGAAAACACACTGATCTCTTCAATTAACGTAGAGTCCCATTACGGTTTTTGATCAGGCTGCAGCGGCAATGGCGGCTAGAGGCTTTGCAATGAAAATTCAGCTATCCTTGAATTATAAAGGCAAATTATCAGAAAACATGAGGATTCAAAGATATAGGAAATCCTATGCCATATACATACCAACAAGTATAAAATTTTATAGAACGCTATATAAAATGGTATAAGCTGTAATTCTAATACCCCTGTCCCACTGAGGGCTTGTTCCCACCGAAAGAGTGTGCGTTCCAGAGCAGTAGCTGCTGGAACGCACTGTGATCGCTAAGAAACTTCTCCGCGCGTTATGGGGTGGGAGAGGGCATGGCGTCTCTATCGCACTGTGGGCGAGGGGTGGGGGGGAGTGGAAGCGGTGCCATTGAATTCAATGCACAGCCATGCCCCCTCACGCCCCAAAACACAGGGAGAAGTTTCTTAGCGATCGCGGTGGGTTCCAGCAGCTACCGCTCTGGAACGCACACGCTTTCGGTGTGAACAAGGCCTAATGGTAATCTCCACTACTGTTTATTATCATGTAGAATTACACATAAAAGATCCCCAGAAACATACATACATCTTATTCTTTGAGAGCGCTGAACATTTTTCAGTTTATTTGGTACCAGAAACATACAGCTCTTACCTTGGAAAAGCATTGTTTGGCTGAAGTCACTGCGCATGTCGTTGCGACACACTGCTTGCACTCTGAACAGGTAGAGAATGTCAGGGGACACGTGGTTGATGATGGCTTTCTGTTGACGAGAGCGAGAAAAAGCATTGACAGTCAGTGTTTTCGAGAGCGGCAAGTTCCTTCGTGAAGCATAACACCAGCAGCTGGGAAAATTCCTGATCACACCGTGCACTTTCATATTTATATATTCACATCACACCCCGTAAAAACACTTGCCCAAAAACCTCCAAGTCCCTAAATACACTACAAGGTATTAATTTAAAACGGTCATGGATGTCATTAAAAAAGCAATTTACAGGGCTCAATAATGCTCGCCTTCACAAAGAACTGTCGGAAAATATTTATGTGGCCAATAAATGATAGATCCGTTGGAATCTATGTATTTTTTACTTGTTTGTCTCTCTGGCTTTTATGCCTATTTTTTTATTGAGCAATAAAACCGATGAAGTGTCCGTGCTACATGCCCGAGCCAAAGGCGCTATCGTAACTATCCCACATAAATAATGAGAATAGCGCACACCCCTCGCTTCCTCAATTTACTCTTCAAGCAGAACAATGAAATGTCCTTTGTTGCCGGAGAAAAAGTATTGATGCTTCACTTAAAACCAGCAGGAGTTATCAGTCTCTGTGTTTTATTCAATTGTAAAGAAGAGTTCATAATAGGCATAAAAGAAATGCATATCGGTATATAATAATGAGCTACTGAAAGTTTGAAACACAGTGGCATAAGAAATGGGGTCACAGCAGTCACAACTGTGACTGAGACCCTGCTTTGAGGGCAGTTGGGTAGGTTCCTATTCCACCTCCCAGGCCCCACACTTCTAATACAGAGAGTTCTAGTTGGGTCAACAGAGCTGAAGAGGGACACTTCTCTATGTCCCCAATAATATCAGATCACCTCACTAAGTGTAGAGGACACAAGATACAGACTGGCTTGTAATATCCCCGGGCAGCTCTGCATCCAGCATTATGGGAAGTTCACAAGAAATATTGTGTGAGGGAGTAGTTGCTTAGCATGAGAGGGTCCCAGTCCAAAATTTGAACCCCAGACCATACCTCAGCAGCTATACCACTGGCCATATATGTAAGCCAAGCCCACCCCACAAAGTTGTTATAGTGACTCTGCTGTCAAACCACAGAGCTCAGCTTCATTAAAGTTCTAGAGTACCCCATAACCATTAAACTAACAACATTATGACTGTTGAGATTTTCAACCATTCTTGAAGTTACATAGAGCTCGTGCTTAGATGTTAGAAAATACCGGTTCGCTCCTAAAGGGCAAACATTAAGGAAAACTCAACTTTTGTTAATTTGATATAGCATATAAATGTTTCCTCACAGGCTACTTTGTAATGTGCTGTGATTAAAAAGGTCCTTTCCTTTATGATCTACATCTAGATATGCTTTTCTAGAGCTGCCAAATGTCACTTCTTGCAACCACAACACCACTGGAGGCATATTATGCACACTATTTAAGGAACATCCATGAAATCTCATACCCTGCTTGTCCCACTGTCCTTACTCACTGTACTTACACAACACAAGTTCTTGGTGGTCTGCATGACTGGAGGTGTGGCAAAGGGTATTCTTTTTATGTACAAAATGTTATCTGCTAAAAGGTGTCCTGGCCCATGTCTGTGAATACTGTGTTCTGCCTTACTTCATTACACATACCTGAAAAATGGATCTACCTTTTAAAATCAGTACATTAAAGTGACACTAAACACAGGAGATACATCTTAACCAGTTGACATCCGCGGTGTTAAACCCCCTTCCCATCCAGGCCATTTTTCAGTATTCAGCGCTGCGGTACTTTAACTGACATTTATTCCGTCATGCAGCGCTGTACTGAAATGAATTTTATACCCTTTTTTGGGGACAGATAGAGCTTTCTTTTGGTGGTATTGGTGGTCACCACTGGGGGTTTTATTTACTATATTAAGGAAAAATTACCGAAATTTAAAATGAAATAAGCTACATTTATGTTAATAGTTAAAAGGTACTTGAATGCATTTTTAAGGTTTATTAACGCTTTAAAGTATCGCTTTAAAGTTGTAGGGGAAACAGGAGCTTCCAATGTTGACCTATGCTCTGTTGATGTTTATTGGCTGGCTGTCATGCTGATCTTTTTGCTTCAATACAACCTTTTTCAATCTTTCCTGATCTGCATACTTGCTCTGAGCCAGTGACTAAATGTGTGGAAACCAGAGAATCAGCATATCAGCCAGGAATCTAGCTTCTTCATAAAGGGTTCAGCAATGAGAAGTCACAGGTCTCTTTTGTGGCAAGTTGTGCAACATAAAATGTGCTCACTACAACACATTAGGACTCTCTGTAATATGTTTTAATTGATAAGGTGAAACTCTGGTCAGGTTGCTTTTACTAATTAATTATTGTTCCCCTTTGACGTCTCCCGAGTCTATCTAATTCTGACAAAGGAAAAGGTACGGGAACATCGTAACCTTCTGTGCCTTTCAGCCGATTCCTCCTCAGTTTTGTGAACCAGAGCACCTCTGTACGTGACCCAGTTAACAATGTCTAGTGGGGGCAGAGAGAATATAAATGGAAATGAAGGGAAGTAATCTTTATCTGGGAGTGTTATTCTATAACTTATGGAGCAGGCCAGAGGATGGCACACTCAGAAATAAAATCTAAAAAAAGTAGGAAGTCATTAGAAACGGTATTGTGCCGGCTGGCATTTTTCATGTACATACACAATTACAGATTTCATTATATTACTGGCCTCTCCAGATTAACATTAAATGAATGGCTACGAAACCTGCAAGCCTCACTTTGATTCCTTGCAAGGGTAAAACTGGTGTAGAGAATGCTGAAGTGGGGAAATCTTAAAATAGTGTGCAGAAGTGAAATTATATTTGCATTTGAAAGCAATTCTGCTATGTCATGTTTTTCTTTAACTGGTCAAAGCTTTTAAAAAGGAAAACCATTGTGTCTATTTTTCGAGTAAGTATTCGCTCTGTGTGGTTATTGTAAAATCTACCTGAATGTAATGTTTGAGGTCATCGTCCCATTTTTTACTTGCTGGCCTACATTTTCACAACCAGATTTAAGAGCTCTAATGTGAAGGCATATTTTTATGTATTCATTATGTTCAGACCATAGGTTTTTTTTTCCAGTTATTAACCACTTGCAGCCACAAGGTGGCAAGCTCCAAGAACGAACAGAAGCCCTGTGGTTAATATATAGGTGGACTGTAAAACAAAGCTAAAGTGATACGAGATTACACAGACAAGAGGCACTCCCTTTCTAAGGGGGTGCAGTGATTTCTCAAGGTTAACAGGGCAAGGTTTTCCAATCACGATTCTCAACCATGAGCCTTGGCCAATGGTAATTCCATAAAACTCCCAAATTGGAAGACCGTCACCCAATGACTAAGGGCACTCAAATAGCAGGGGTGGGGAACCTCCAGCCCTCCAGCTGTGGTGAAACTACAAATCCCATGAGGCATTGTAAGACTCCCAGAGTCAGATACACCATGGGGTTCGTAGTTTCACCACAGCTGGAGGGCCAGAGGTTCCCACCCCTGCAGTAGAGCAACAGTGGTCAACTTGGAAGTTGTAGGGGCCTCCAATGTGGACCCTGAAATTACCAAAAGGTATGCAATATGCAGTGTATGTAATACTACAGAATACAGACTGCAGGCATACTACAGGAGATGGCCAGAAAATGCAGACAAGATGTTGGACAATGAGGTAGAAAACAGTGAGTGATTGGGGATGAGACCATCATCCTAACTGTCCCTCTACAAACCAATGCTCCACATCTGTGGTTCCTAAAGCCCCTTTATTTATTGTTATTGCCACACCTACTACCATTATAAGAGGTCACAAAAAAAGATACATAAAAAGACAAAAGGGGATTAGCCAACACAGAAAAACAAAAAGGTGTGAAAGAGATGCACCAAACCATAAAATTAGCAGAAACAAGTCTAATAAATATTTTTGTTTCATTGGCCCGAAGTTAGAGGCTAGGCACAGACCTGAGGGCTGCCCAAAAAGTACTAAAAGGCCATACGCTGAGCACCAGGACTATAGAGTGCCTTTCAAGCCAAAGACTTCCCTACCAAGTCCTTTAAAGGGTCTTTAAACCCTGCCCCCTAGCAACCCATTTTTTTATTAAAGTCTGATGTAATTAAAATATGACAACATGACTAGCAGATTAAAAAAAGTTGGAGAAAAATACCTGTTTCCTATGGACTTGTCAAACAGCCTTAATTAGTGGCAGTTTTAAAAAAAATCTGGAGCCCTTACCAGTTCTTTGTCGCTGTCCTTTGTATATGTCTTCTCCTTCTCCTCATCATTCTTGGCCCAGCTGTAGGACACCATGTAATTCATGATGGGAGGGTGGTAGATAATGTCAGGCTGGTTCCAGGTCACTAATAAAGCCGTCTTATTTACCGGTTGCACTTTCATGTTGACAGGTGGGGTGCTGCAGACTGGAACGCAAGACACAGAGAGCTTCGTTAATTAGTGAAACATCCAGGTAACGTGTGCAAATGTATCCAATTCTGTTTCAATTAAAATCCCCCACTGATCCCTGGGCAAGTTCTACCTAAGAATCAATCAATTTAAATTCTGCAGCTTTCTTTGCCAATGGAAGAAAAAATGCCAAGGCAGACGTTGGGGGACAGCTTGTTACGGGCAGTTTCTATGCATGGCTTTTTTCCCCCCCCCCCCAAAGTGTGCATCATTTTTTTGCATGTGAATAATATTCAGTTGGTAACTATTTCATAATCTGCTAGATACAAAAATGTGTACATTTGCATAGTTTTAGTAAACAAGAGAAACTGCCCTGTTTTTAGCCTGCTTGAGATTTATAAATGTTACCCGCTGAGCCCAATATTGGATTATGCCACTAGACCGGATATTTCCAACATGAGCTGAATAGGAGATCTCGAACAATACCGCATCCCCTTCAAGGGGTGTATGTGTAAGCTGTTTGTCTGGCAGTGCTCCTCATAGTGTTCCCCGGCTGTAAATGTTTCTGCAAGAATAGCTGTAACAATTTAGCATTCACTGTTTATCCTCCAGCGAGACCATTCAAGGCGGGCGTGAACTTGTAATAAAGAAACAAGCTTCTAGGGGGATGGCAGATTACCCTCGTTTTATTATTTGTTCACATCATGCTTTAGGTAAGAAAATAATAACTGAAGATTTCACTGCATGAAGAATAACCGTCTTTGTATTACTTGGGGGGTCTACATAATTGTACGGTCACAATGTTCTGAGGGTTGTGAGGCTTGCATAACAATAGTGGCTTCTGGGACACATAAGTGAAATCCATACCGATGAAGCGGCAAAGCTTATTGGTTGCTTTGAGCAACACAGACATTGGTTTCAGACCTGGAGAAAAAAACATTGCAATTTGGAATGAAAGTTTTTTATTTTTTACATATATTTGCCACTTGCTGGCAGCAACAAAGCCGCCTAACTATTGGTCTCAAATATCCTGTGTTGTGACCTGTATAGCAGGATATTGGGGGATTAATCAGAGGGAAGACATACTCCTCCTTTCCTAGTATAGATGGTGCCTATCTGGATGGTTTTAACCTGCAGAAACTGTGCAAATGAAGAGCTAGTGCTGGACTTTTTTTTACTAGAAAGCCCAGCACACATAGCAAATACTGTATCATGGTAGCAACCAGTAGGAACTATATATAATTAAAATGATTTTATAGAAATTATTAAATTGGTATTAAACCGTTTGAAAACTTTTGAAAAAAATAAATACAACAGATTACAAATTATAGTTTGTAAATAGGTTTATTGGTTTTGAATTTTGAAAGTGCTTTGCTGGACTGGTTGACTTTTTTGCTGTTTAACATGCCTGGGGCAAACTGCTCAGCAGGTTGTGGGCCTCATGCAAGAAGCAAAAACACTCTAAGGGCAGGTTCACACCATTTTCCAGACCAGATATGGCCCGGAAAATGGTGGGAATCTGCCCTCAGTTCCAGACCAGACAAAATGAGACACGCAGTATTTTTCTGGTCTGGTCTGGAATGGACTGCGCTGGTGTGAACACAGAGACCAGAAATAGCATAGGGATACATTAGGATGCATTTTGGGTCCGGAGACAATCTGGTCTGGTCTGAACATGATCTGGATGTGGTGTGAATGAGCCGTAAAGTCCAAAAACCCTGTTCTGACCGGATTAACTGGAGATTTTGCACATCTATCCATGGCATACCATCATGAAAATATAGAACAGTATGTAAAAAGTGGAAGTCACATAAAAAAAAAAAAAGAAACCCCATCAAGTTAACTATAAGAAGACTCAAATTGCCGTGGTGGAAACCATGCAGACGTTTTGGCTGCCCTGTTCCTTTAACTTTCTAATTGAGCTCCTTGTGTCTTCAGATTTTATTACCAGTATACATCAATTGTAAATGAAAAAAGTGACAGATGTGGAAAGAAGCACATCTCTCAATCCGATCCTGACCACGGGAAAGGAGGAATGAATGAAACTTTGGGACCTACTTCTGGCCCTGCAGCAAACCCTTTTTTATGCTCCGGTACTCGCTGACAGTTAGAAATGAGATTGCGACTCATGCATTAAAACCATCACTTTCACAAATGATCCGCTTCTGCAAACATGTGTCAGGCCATTCTCCATGTGTCAGAATATGTCCCTGACCTAGCGTGCCTCCATCACTCACATATCATCACTTTTTTGTATTTATTTAACAGGGATCAATGATCAAGAAAAAACAAAATAGACGGCGCTGCTTTGGCTTCATGAATGTGAATGAAATGGTTCTATTTGCTCCACCAACTGCGACCATTCTCATTGGCTGCTGCAGACAACAAGACATTTTCTTGTCAGTAGGCCTCTATGTTGGGTATCTTCGTTGCTATGGGCAGCTCAAACATTATTCCTTTCAGTGTTTATAAAGCTACCCCATTGTTCACTGAAATGCAATCTGCTCCATCTGTATTATACAAAATAAATCAAGTCTTTTTCTTTTCCCTATAAAGACGCAGACGCTGCATTGAAATATTCCATAGGGTGTCTATGCAGGGAAGCAGAACAGAGATATTGCTGTGCTCTTCACTATCAGACTCTCTTCTCTCCGCCAAGGGAAATCCAATGTTTATGACGGAATATTATCTCCCCCTTTCTCTCGAGACACTCGTCTATCACGGAAGAACATCTCAGAGAGAAAATAGACAGGATTCATGCAGAACGACGGTGCCCGAGAACTTCACACTTCCTTGAGGTCACCACCTAATCATATTTGAAATTCAACGCAAGAAATACCACTGATCAAATCAACTGCAAAACGATGCATTATTAAAATGTATTGACATTCCGGGTCATTATGGAATGCTGCAACCGATTCATAATATATGAGCATAATGCACGCTAATATTTATCTAATGAATAAACTGCTCTGGCCTGTTTTGTGTTGAATGAAGACGTATGATGCTTAAAGAAAACATTACTAGCAGCCAGCACATACTTACAAGACTATATAGCAAATCCCCTAATTGCAGAAAATAAACGCAACTCTAAGCCTTTTTTTTATTTTGGATACAGTAAGGAATAGGTCAAACCCCCTTCAGGATTGTGCCATGTGTGTTCCACTGCGGACCCCTCACTTCCTGTCCTGTAGACAAGAAAATCTCCCCCACAGTAAGGGAAATCTGCTCCTCCCTGCAATAGATGTCTACATTCAAAGATTTCCCCTCTACTCCTGTTCTAGAGACAACTCACAATTTGATATTTCCTATCACATTAGGAGGGAGTGCGGACAGCAATAAAAACCTAAATGTGTTTTTAGACCCTTATCCAGATTAACCAGATTATCCATAACACATCCAGATTAAAAAGATTTTGGCTTTAAATACATTTTAAGGCCTCATTCACACAAGAAAAAGGCTGGCACGTACAGCTCCGTGCTGCGTGCAAGGCTGTATCGGGCAGCTCCCGGGAAGGACAGGTGCTGCGTGTGATTAGTACACAGCCCGTCCTTCTCTATGGGAGTACGCGGCCATACGCCGCCCTACGCTCACCCCAAGTGCAGGTCCGTGCGGGTGCAGGTGTCACGGCTTGGACGCAGACAAGATCCATCTAGTCAGCGTATGAATCACACGCAGCACCTGACCTTCCCGCGAGCTGTCCGATACGGCCGCACATGCAGCACGGAGCTGTACGTGGCGGCCGTTTCCCGTGTGAATGAGGCATAATGCTAAGCCTTCCCTTTTTTTCATTACACTTGTAGCAAGTCCTCTCCTATGTTGAAGCTCATTACTCTGTTCCCCATAAACTTACATCCAACCAAAATAACCCTTTGAAGCTGCAGCAGTTATCTTAAACCCGCCTTCATTTCCTACTTAAAGACATCCATAATCCAGCCGTAGCTGACCCCACCTCACAGCTATTCTCTGCTATCAATCATTTTGTTATGGAGCTTTATGGAAGGAATGCATCCCTGGCATCTTTTGTGCTGCAACCTATCAAAAGAGTGCATAGCTTAAGTCTGCAGCACCCAGTGGGGAGAAGCAGACACATCTGAGGGGATCCTGGGGATGTTTTCCTTCATGTAATTCTTTTGAATATGAAGGTGAAGATCCAAGGTAGAAAACTCTGACATTTACAAGTGCCTGTTGGCCCCTATGCCATTGGAATGGGAACATGTAACAAAAACGAAACAGTGATGCAAGTAATCTGTGCTTAAAAGGCGTTTTTGTTTTATAAAGCAAGGGCACAGTTGCATTACAATGTCAGCTGCTTTATTGCAACAAGCTCTATTATGCACACATGGCTGAGATCTGGCCCACCCACTTGCATCTACTGGCTAGAGAGGCTGCCCATCACATATATAGGCCAATAGGAAGGCATATGGGCAAGAGGGAGCAAGCCAGAATATAACATTCCAGCTCTGGTTGCAATATGTACAATAGAATATCGATTCTGGGGCTCCTGCCAGACTCTGAAAAAAGTAGGGATGCACCGATACAAGCATCGGTATCGGCCGCGATACCGAGTATTTGCATGAGTACTCGTACTCGTGCATGCCAGCAAGATATTATTAGTGTATGCAATACAAACCACGAGAAATCTAGGGATGAATGGTGATATTCAGACAAGCCAGAGAACGCTGAGCTCAGCTGCTGCAAGAGAGCAAGTGAACTGTGCATGCAACTAGGTAAGTGGAGTTGTCGTAACTGAGTGTTCGTTCGTGAAGTGCTGGGGCAGCGCATTCAATGGTCACTCCTTCCTGCCATGTTAGCAGGACGGGGAGTGGGAACCCACAGTAGAAGCAGTTTGAAAAGTAAGAATCCTTTTTTAAGATGGACACCATTGTAATGTACAATCAAAGCAGTAATGCATATGGATTATTTCTATATAATGTCATTAAAGGTGAACTAATCCTTTAAAGCGCACACACATATACATGTATATGTGTGTGTATATCTATATCTCTATCTATCT